GACCAGATATTCTGACAAAAATGTGAAATTTAAAGTTTCTTTTCTGCCTCCTGTGTGACATTGAAAATATGATCAAGTGATGACTTCCCAGTCATTTATGCAAATATCCTGAATTCATTGTTAAACTAAACCATTTACGTGTGGCATAATTTAATCAGGCTAATAGGATTAAAGCTCACCATGCCTTGACTGACTTGTGGATTGGTATGGATGACTGATAATTATTTAGTGATCAGTGTGTGTGTCTAAAAAGAAGGGAAGGAGGTGTTACCGTTTTATTGGCCATTTAATATGCTGTAGATCAGTGAGTCTATGCATCAGCCCCATCTGGCTGATCTTTCTGTATTCAAGAGCAAAGGGAGGGGGATTTCTGTTTGAAGTCAAAATTCTTCCTCTAGAGATCATGCTGGGTAATTTAACCTCTTTCCAAACATACACACAGACAACACAATAGATGTTAAGGCTTACTTCAAGCATTAATATCCCGAAGCCAGCTAATAGTTTAATAGATCAACCAGTCAAAATAGTTTAATATTTTTAAAATTCTGATATGATAATTTACTATTTTACTAAAATAGTAAAAACTCTTTTTTAAAAAAAGTTGTGAGCATTTACAACAAATATATATATACACCATGAAGTTTGGCACAAGCAGGTGTACATTTGAAATTAGTTTATCTAGTGCTGAAACTGAGTTTTCTGACTGTATATGGTGGAGAGAAAGTAGGAGAATAGAGAGAAACAGACTCACAAAATTCCATATTGTTATTAAATTCTGTGTTATTAAATTCTATGTTATGAAAAGGAAAGAAAAAAGAAGAAATTAATAAAATCTCTTGGTGGATAATAATGATGATGATGATGATAATTAAAATTTAGATGCAACTTTCCAGTTCAAAAGGTGCAGCCGCTGCCTCTAAGAATGAAAAGTCACTGTCTACATCAGAACTTATCCACATTGACAAAAAAAATCATACATTAAATGTACTATTACAGGAAAAATGCAATTTAAACTTGAAGTATTTCTGTTAAACATAATTGACCAATCTTTGGGAAGAAAAGCATGGTCAAATTATATTTTGTATGTTATCAGCCACAAGATTGGTCCTTGCAAAAATGTGGAAATTATAATCAATAACCTCAATAGCAGACTGCTTAGTAAAACTACTAGAAGTAATTGAAATGGATAAGTTGACAAGATTGTTATGCAAAGGGGCGGGATATAAATTATTATTATTATTATTATTATTATTATTATTATTATTATTATTATTAGATATATACAAAATCAACATACAAATGAATATATAGAGGACTGGAAAGAAAGTATTTAATTATCTGACTCAGGAATTTAATTGTACTGGATGTTGATATGCGATAAAAAGATGTAGAAAATAATTAATTGCAAGAAGCAAATGAAAGATACTATGGGGTATATTACTGAGTTGAAATTGCATAGAGAAACAATGAATGGTCAATAGCACAAAAACTAGTACTTTCAGAAAAATGAGCAAATGACTGCAGCTGAGGAAATACTGAATGTGTTATGGATGATGGATGATGTGTTATGTTATGTTTGTTATGTTAGGATTAATTTCAAATGTGTTCTGAATGATTTGTGAGATAATTGTATCTTTATGAGTTTAGATGTATGAAATAGAAACGTAACTAGAATGCTTAGAGAAAATGACTCTATACACTTTGTATTTTCTTTTTATTGGATATGTGTGGAAAAACTGATTTTATATATATATAGTCCATATTGCTTCTTTCAAGCACTTCAGAACATTAAATTACTTCTCGATCTTCTGGAAATAATTTAGCACAGTGGGAACCTTGATGCTCAATGTATGTCCAGCCAGTGACAGCTGGTGGCCTCCATGTCAATAAGCCAGTGAATCTGCTCTGGGTTTCAGTCCAAACCTTAAAGTTGTTATCCAAAGAGCTGAACTTATTTTGGAGGTATGGCTCATTTCCTTGGGTGTTTTTAAAGTTCATCCTAAAGCCTGGAAAGGATTCAGCACCCACTGATATAGAAACTGTCTGCAAATGTACATGATATGAGAGCACATTTTTCTGACAATACGGACATGTGTTTGCTATATGTTTGACTTCAGAATAATTATGTGGCAATTCATTGTTTGGTTACTGTTGTACTTTTGAATGCAAACACAGTTTGCCTGCCAGAATATATATGCACATGTCCACACAACACTAGCATACCAGACAGAGGAATAGGCAAGAACTTTTGTCACTGTTGCAATAGTTTATTCAATGGAGAGACAGACAGATAGTTTAACTTAAATTGCAGATGGGTTGTTCAATAGAGATGCATAGTTCATCCTATATCTATATCTTTTGAGGGCCAAATTCCCATGGGTAGACTGCACACCACGGTGCTGGATAATATATTTTTTGTTGCCTCCTCATCATGTATGCACACCGTTACACAAACACACCACCTGAGACCTCCAGTTACCTCCCACATCCACCCAGATGTCATTCCATTCAATGGCCATTCCTTTGATTGGCCACAGAGTTGCATGTGCAATGCTCCACCATTGCAGGACATCAGTGCATCAGTGTGCCTAGTGATACATTGGGAAAGCACAATAATGGAGCCCTCTCTCCACATGCCTCCTTCACCCTCTTTCACTCCATGCTACCCTGCTACACTGTCTGGTTTGTGTACGTTCTAATTACATCCATTGGAGTTGTTGCACTTTCATATTTTTGCTTTGCCGCAGCCCCTCACTGGCGCTGGGCTGTTTATATACAGGCATTTTCTGCACTAAGCCAGAGTATCCCAGCTTCATTTTGCTCCAGTTTTTAGTCCTGGAGCGTGGTTTCATTTTGGTTTCCACCCACTTTCAAGGTGTGCATCATATAAATGTCCCATACTTTGCCCATCTCTTTCACCCCCTAGGTCATCATAAAGCCTAAGGTGAAGCTTCACCATGCCTAGCCCAGGGACAAATGAGAAGCCCTCTCTCCATTCTAACTGCCACAGCCATGGCCTCTATGGCAGAGTAGAACCAGCAGAATCTGCTGGACTTGATCCCATTCTCCACTGCTATTCCCCTGTCCTTTTGCATGGTGTCTTTTTTATATTGCAAGCCTGAGGGCAGGGAACTGTCTAATTAACTATTTGCAAGCTGCTCTGAGAGACTTTGTGGCAGAAGAGCAGGGTATAAATACTATGAAATGAAATGAAATAGTGATGATGGAGGAGAGAGCCTTCTTGGTATTGGCATTCTGCAATGGACCATCCTCCCCTGGGACACTTATCGGACACCTACCTAGATAGCATTTCAAAATCAGGCAAAGGCACCATTTCCCCAGACTTTTTAACACAAACTTTTCATAAAGTATTGACTATTACTTTGTTTCTTGTTCTATTGCAGAATGCCAATACCAAGAAGGCTCTCTCCTGATAGCTATAGATATAGATGATATTATAGATATAGGATGGACCATGTATATAAATACATAAAGTCTCTATTCCTGTGCCATCGCAGCTTTTGCACAGGTATCCACTGGGCCTCTTAGGGCATCTGCTGCAGCCATGGGTTGCCCACTGCTGAGGTCAGAACTAGGGACCCAGTGATGATCACATGCTGGGCACCTCATTCTGACCTCAGAACAAGTGATCCATGACAGCAGTGGACATACTGAGAGGCTCAGCAGGACACTCATCCAGACAGCCACAGTGGTGCAAGAATAAAGGGCTCCAGATCTTCCTGGAAAATCCAGAGGAAGAGTTATTTTAATTCATTTTAACCTTGTTATGCCCAGGCTCTTGTAGGATATGCCAGATGTCATCTGGACTGCATACACCAGAACTGGGGTTTGGACCATGTCTCATCCAAACAGGATGACACCAGAATGGAGTGGGGAGAGGAGACAGGCTTTTTGGCTCATGCAGACAAGGCCCTAGTCAAGTGTTGCCCTCCAGAAGTTTCTGTAAAGTAACTTCCATCAGCCCTAGCATAGCCAGCATACTGGGACATTTTGAGAGTTGCAGTCCAGCAACATTTGCAGGACCACATGGTTTCCTCCACTGGTTTAACTTTTAGGTAGTCAAATGGATTCAAGTGAGCATAAGCCTTTTGGATTCCATACATTATCATTCTAATATTTTGAATCTAAGGGGAAATTCTCAAAAAGTTGATATCTTTTGTCCAGAATTGAAATGATACATTCAAAGTGCATTTAAAAAAAGATAGAACTCTTTGCTACTGCCGTGTTCATGTGATTAATTTAAATTTTTAGTTTTACACACCCTGCCATAAACGTTTTATTTACATTTTATGGCAACTGAACCACATAGCATTTACTCTAATAATAATTCGTTAACAACACAGGGACAGGTGTTCTCAAGGATGTGATACATGGACGAGGTGAAAATCTAAACTGATTTAGGAATCATCATAAAAAAGAGAGAGAGAGAGAAAGAAGGTAGAGCAGAGCTAATAAAACTGTTGGGTTTGCACTCATTAAGCTACTTGAATTTCTGGTTTGTAGAATTATACTTGGTGGAGCCATAAATGCAAGCAGCAGTGTATGACTGACTACTGCTTCTGCACAGGTACACATTTTTAAAGGCTTACAAAAAAAGATTTGCTCATAGGCATTTCTCCAAATAAAAATTTTGCTTTGATGGTCTTCTCAAGCCATGAAGCCAATGTGATAGGAAGGAGAACTTGCTGTGTTATTTCCTAAGGTGATGCAAGTGGAACCAGCTAATAATATGCCTAT